CGATCCTAAATATATACACACCCAATACGTGAGCACCCAGATACATAAAGCAAGTTCTTAATGGCCTACGAAGAGACTTAGACTCCCACACAATAATAGTGGGAGACTTTAACACCCCACTGTCAATATTAGAGAGATGAACAAGACAGAAAATTAACAAGGAAATCCAGGACTTGAACTCAGATCTGGACCAAGCGGACCTAGCAGACATCTACAGAATTCTCCACCCCAAATCCACAGAATGTACATTTTTCTTAGCACCACATCACACCTACTCTAAAATTGACCACATAATTAGAAGTAAATCACTCCTCAGCAAATGCAAAAGAATGGAAATCATAGTAAACAATCTCAGACCAGAGTACAATCAAATTAGAACTCAGGATTCAGAAACTAACTCAAAACCACACAACTTCATGAAAATGGAGTAACTGGCTCCTGAATGTCAACTGGATAAACAGTGAAATGAAGGCAGAAATAAAGATGTTCTTTGAAACCAAGGAGAATGAAAACACAATGTACCGGAAACTCTGGGACACAGTTAAAGCAGTGTCCAGAGGGAAATTTATAGCACTAAATATGCCTACATGAGAAGCTAGGAAAGACCTAAAATTGACACTTTATCATCAAAATTGAAAGACCTAAAGGAGCAACACCAAAAAAACTCAAAAGCTAGCAGAAGACAAGGAATAACTAAGATCAGAGCAGAACTGAAAGGCCATAGTGCCCAAAGTAATTTATAGATTCAATGTTATCCCCATCAAGCTACCATTGACTTTCTTCACAGAACTGGAGAAAACCACCTTAAACTTCATATGGAACCCCAAAAAAACCCTGCATAGCCAAGACAATCCTAAGCAAAAAGAACAAAGCTGGAGGCTCATACACCTGACTTCAAACTATACCACAAGGCTACAGTAATCAAAACAGCATGGTACTGATACCAAAACAGATATTGACCAATGGAACAGAACAAAGGCCTTGGAAGTAATGTAACACATCTACAACCATCTGATCTTTGACAAACCTGAAAATGGGGATAGAATCCCCTGTTTAATAAATGGTGTTGGGAAAACTGGCTAGCCGTGGCAGAAAGCTGAAACTGAACCCCTTCCTTACACCTTACACAAAAATTAACTCCAGATGGATTAAAGACTTAAACATAAGACCTAAGACTATAAAAACCCTAGAAGAAAACCTATGCAATACCATTTAGGACATAGGCATAGGTAAGGACTTCATGACTAAAACTCTAAAAGCAATGTCAACAAAAGCCAAAATAGAGAAATGGGATCTAATTAAACTTAAAGACAAATTAAACTTAAGAGCTTCTGCCCGGCAAAAGAAACTATCATTAGAGTGAACCAGCAATCAACAGAATGGGAAAAAGTTTTCGCAATCTACACATCTGACAAAGGGCTAATATGCAGAATCTACAAAGAACTAAAGCAAATACACAAGAAAAAAACAAACCCATCAAAAAGTGGGCAAAGGATATGAACAGACACTTTTCAAAAGAAGACATTTATGTCACCAACAAACATGAAAAAATGCTCATCACCACTGATGACTAGAGAATTGCAAATGAAAATCACATTGAGATACCATCTCAAGTCAGTTAGAATGGCAATCATTAAAAAATCTGGAGGCAACAGATGCTGGAGAGGATGTGAAGAAATAGAAATGCTTTTCCACTGTTGATGGGAGTGTAAATTAGTTTAACCATTGTGGAAGACAGTGTGGTGATTCCTCAAAGATCTAGAAATAGAAATACCATTTGACCCAGCAATCCCATTACTGGGTACATACCCAAAGGATTATAAATTGTTATATTATAAAGACACATGCACATGTATGTTCATTGTGGCACTGTTTACAATAGCAAAGATTTGGAACCAACCCAAATGCCCATCAATGATAGACTGGATAAAAAAATTTGGCACATATACACCATGGTATACTATGCAGCCATACAAAAGGATGAGTTCATGTCCTTTGCAGGGACATGGATGAATCTGGAAACCATCATTCTCAGCCAACTGACACAAGAACAGAAAATCAAACACCGCATGTTCTCACTCATAATTGGGTGTTGAACAATGAGAACACATGGACACGTGGAGGGGAACATCACACACTGGAGTCTGTTGGGGGTGGGGGACTAGGGGAGATTGGGGAGGGATAATATTAGGAGAAACCTAATGTGGGTGATGCAGGGGGTGGAGGCAGCAAAACACCATGACATGTGTCTATCTATGTAACAATCCTGCAAGATCTGCACATGTACCCCAGAACTTAAAGTAAAATTTAAAAAAAAAGAAAAAGAAAAGATGATCTATTATCTATTAAGTATTTGTATTTATCAGGGCCTTGAATAAAAGTTCCTCTGCAGAGCCTGTCATAATAGTCCTCGTGTCTGTGAAGTCCCTTGTGACATGGGATAACAGGATTTTCAGGTAGAGATGTTCACCAGGCAGATGGAATTGTAGTCTATAGCTGTGAAGATAAATCAGTCAATACAATGATTATAGAGAAAAAAATAAAGTAAGCTATCAAAGAAAGATATATACAAGGGAGACAGAGTTATATGAAGTCTCAGATGTAGGAGGTTATAGAGCAAAAGGTTGAGTTCTGGTTTTCAGGACTTTTTTCTAACATAATGACCTGATCACTGGCAAAAACCTAAAAAGAAAGATGAAGAATCAGTATGAGATCATAAAATTAAGATGCTCTTCTAAAAATATGTGAAATTAGGTTTTTAGGGAGGTGAGTTATGGCTGAAGAAAATCAAGGTGAATGAAGATGAGATCAATTGAGAATGTAGTTTCAGAAATATAAAAGAAGCCAAATTATGAGGAGGTTAAGCAGGTAGGCATAAAGCTGAGGCACTAAAGCATTATTGGTTTTGCAATCAAGGGTAGGATAGATTTTTTTTTTTTTTTTTTTTTTTTGAGACAGAGTCTTGCTCTGTTGCCCAGGCTGAAGTGCACTGGCGTAATCCTGGCTCACTGCAAACTCCGCCTCCCTGGTTCAAGTGATTCTCCTGCCTCAGCCTCCTGAATAGCTAGGATTACAGGCGTGTGCCACCACACCTGGCTAAGTTTTGTATTTTTGGTAGAGGCAGAGTTTCACCATGTTAGCCAGGCTGGTCTTGGACTCCTGACCTCATGATCCACCCAGCTCAACCTCTCAAAGTCCCGGGATTAAAGGCATGAGCCACCGCACCTGTCACACTTTTTTTTGGCAGGGGAGGGGTAGAATCTCACTCTATTGCTCAGGCTGCAGTGCAATGGCATGATCTAGGCTCACTACAACCTCTGCCTCCCGGGCTCAAGCAATTCTGCCTCAGCCTCCCGAGTAGCTGGAATTACAGGCGTGTGCCACCACACCTGGCTAATTTTTATATTTTTAGTAGAAACTGGGTTTATCCATGTGGCCCAGGCTGCTCTTCAGCCCCTGACCTCAAGTGATCCACCTGCCTCGGCCTCCCAAAGTGCTGGAATTACAGGTCTGAGTCACCACACCCGGCCCAAGAGTAGGATTAGATTTAGTTAGATGACTAGACATACAGAAACTAGAAAAAGCTTTATCAAACCATGCTTCTTAAAAAATTAATCCGGGGCAGAATCATCTACAACTTCGTTCCATGTCTTCACTTTGACTTACCCATAAAAACTTCAAGTACAAAGAATGAAAAGTCTTAGGAATAACCACACATTTTCTAATGCTCAATATTTTATTGGTATTTTTGTCTTCTATGTAGATATGATAGGTCTGCATGATTTTTTATTTTTTGTTTTCCTTGAACTGATTCTCAAAATGTTAGGCTCATGAGTCATGTATTTAACAAAAACACAGTCACTGTGTTCTGTTTGCTGTATAATTTCTGTTTTGGTTTACCTAACATTTCCTATCCAAAGAACATTTTCCTGTAAAACTACATGTTGAAAGAAACAGCCATCATGTAGTAGAGAATAGCCTGAGAGCTATTCTAGACTGTAACCAAAGCATGTGCTATCACGATTTAATTTATTTCAAGTACTAATAAAGTGATGACAAAACAGCATTGTCTTTTGTTTACTACAGGAACTATTTTTCTTTCCTCCTTTTGATGATCTAGAGGAAGGGGCATTTCTGCTTTAGCTTCCGTGTTCCCACTAAGATCGAACGATGTCTCTAAAGTAGCCATAGACTTGCTCGAAAACTGTAAACGTTTTCCAAATGTGGTCCTAATTCGTACTTTGAAAGAAACATTTTCAAGGTATTTTATCCTTTTCTCCAACTTTTGACATATTACAAAGTACCCAAATATGCCAGACTGTTGCCTTATCAGTTCCTGGCAGTCGGGTGCAGTTAGATGCAAGGCAATCTTCCTAAAAGTTACCAATGAGAAATGTGAGAGGAGCAAAAGCTATTATTGAGAAAACCAACAAAAGTCTAGGTAGAAAAAACAGGGAAGTGGAGAGCTACTATCTTTCTAATTTTTCATGTGCTTCTATTTCTTTCCTACTTCAGAGCCATTGACAAACTGTTCAGTGTATCACAGGCTATGTTTCTAGGCCGCTGAAACGTGACATGATATTTTCAAAGAACCATGGAAACCTAAAAGAAAGCCAATGAGAAATAAGTGAATGAGAGGTTAGGACTGTAGCCTTCCTTTTCATTCAAAGATTTACAAGTTTCCGTAGAGTAAAATGTTCTTCTCCAGCCACCTGTTTTCATAGTTCTGTGTTTTCCATCAGGCCTTTCTGGCTTCTCACATGGCAGTAAGAAAATGACGTGCTTAATGACAAATTTGACATCGAATATGAACTTTCAGTTTCAGCATATGATGTACAGAGGTGCTTTTGTGGTTTGATTGTTTCTCATATTCCAAGTAAAGAAACTAGAAAATGAAAGCATTCCAAAAGTGGAAGTTATTACTCACTGCCTCTGTTATAAATTGTGGTTGTTGGCTATGACAACAACTATACTAAATGGATGCCCTGAAAACTCTTCAGACTCTGAGGAGCACCAGAGGAGCAGACTAGAAGAATGGCACATGCTATGGAAAATTTCTGCACTATCAGTGAAGAGTATGATATTGATGGAGAAGTGGGCTTCGCTCTGCCAAATCCATTGGTAAGAGAAGGCACTAACATGTGGGGAAATGCATTCTTCTTCTCATTAGTTACCTGGCCAGTTAACTTCTACTAAACAGCTGTGGTTCAGTAACTTCTAGTAAACAAACACATAAACCAGTGTAAAAATGAGAGAGAGTTGTAATAATTGCATCTCACTTAACTTGTTTTAAATTTTCTCCCTAGAAATGGAGTCATCTATGCATTTTTTACTTATGTAACATGAGTATGTAGAGTGATGAGATAAGAAAACTATAGAAAATATATCAGCTTTACATAAGAATTACACAGTAAAATACAATGTGAGGTTATTACAGTTGTATTTTGAAAGAGTGTTTTGCAATAGCCAAAGTTTTAAATGGTCTGTGAGTCAAAAAGAAATCCCCCTTTTTAGGGATATACCTTAAATTTTACAAAACATGCGTTTCTAATTTGATGGGGTTTATGAGATTGAACATCAAGCACTTTCCATGTTCTATTATCATTGCTTGCTATTTACTGAGCATAAGATTCAAGGGAGAGTCTGAACTACCTTTTTTCTTGTTTGCAAGTTTTACCTGTAAAGTACAAGATATGTGGAAAAAAGGTTTGCCTTAAAAACTACATTTTCTATTCTGTCTTCTACTAAATGCTATGCAAACCAATTTATCATCAATATTTTAATCATCAAATACGGCATTTTCTAAGCAATTTGCAAATTAACCCTTTCCATTCTCACAGCCATCCCAAAAGGTATGTTATTTATTTATTCGTTCATTTATTGAGATGGAGTCTCACTCTATCACCCAGGCTGGATTGCAGTGGCACGATCTCGGCTCACTGCCACTTACGCCCCCGGGTTCAAGCAATACTCCTGCCTCAGTCTCACAAGTGGCTGGGATTATAGACATCTGCCACCACACCCGGTTACTTTTTGTATTTTTGGTAGAGACAGGGTTTTACCATGTTGGCCAGGCTTGTCTTGAACTCCTGACCTCAGGTGATCCACCTGCCTCAGCCCCCAAAGTGCTGGGATCATAGGTGAGGGCCACTGTACCCAGCCAGGTATGTATGTTATTATTCTCATGCTCCTAATGAGAAGTATAAGGAATGCAGAATTTAAGTGATTATCAAACCATGTAGCCAGCAAGTTCTGGAGGCCAGTATGAGCCTAAGCAGTCTGGCTCCAGAGTCCAGGATCTTTAAACCATTATGCCACACTGCCTCTCTTAAGAAGGGATAATAAGGCATAGATTTTTTTTTCTATTTCTTTCAATCTTCAGTTTAACAAGGTACATGGGATTTCAGGAAAAGATTTCTATGAAGTGTTATAGTAATTCTGTAGACAAGTATATTTTTTATTGTAGCTCAAACAGTTATAGTCCACATATACTGGAGAGCACCTTTAAATGCAGCAAATGTTTTGTTAGAGATTCCAACCTAACTGTGCTGAAAAATAAAGTAACTGTAAATACTTCGGTGATACTGGCAAATTTAAAGCATCTACCTCCTTGCAATCTAATTTTCCTCTTCAGATTATTAATTTAAGAAAATGAAGAATGTGCTTTAATTTTATTGCAAAAAGCACAAGTTAGCTTTATTCATGCAAATCAATAATATTCAAACTTGCTTCTTGCCCACATGCCCACAAAAATGCCAGGACTGGATGGTTTCAAGGATGTACTTACCAATAGTACAATAAAACCATCTTTTTCAGAAATTACTAATCATGGTTTGTTTTTTTCTCAGAGATTTGGTTCTCTTTAAAAATACAACAACTGTGATATTTATGAATACCTGTAGAACAGATTGCAAGGGTAAAACAAAACCCCAAAAGAAAACAAACAAAACTCTTCTTTGGCTACTTAAAAAAATGACTCTTGGCCAGGCAGTGGTTGCTCATGCCTGTAATCCCAGCATTTTGGGAGGTCGAGGTGGGTGGATCACGAGGTCAGGAGTTCGAGACCAGTCTGGCCCACATGGTGAAACCCTGTCTCTACTAAAAATACAAAAATTAGCTAGGTATGGTGGCACACACCTATAATCCTAGCTACTCAGGAGGCTGAGACAGCAGAATTGCTTGAACCCAGGAAGCAGAGGTTTCAGTGAGCTGAGATCATGCCACGACACTCCAGCCTGGGCAACAGAAGTGAGCCTCTGTCTCAGAAATAATAATAATAATAATACTGACTAGGCATAGTGGCTTACACTTGTAATCCTGGCACTGTGGAAGACTAAGATGGGTGGATCACTTGAAGTCAGGAGTTTGAGACCAGCCTGGCCAACATGGTGAAACCCCATCTCTACTAAAAATACAAGAAAAATTAGCTGGCGTGTTGATTCACCTTTAGTCCCAGCTACTCGGGAGGCTAAGGTAAGAGAAATGTTTGAACCCAGGATGCAGAGGTTACAATGAACTGAGATCACGCCACTGCACTCCAGCCTGGGTGACAGAGTGAAGTCCTTTCTCGATATAATAATAATAATTCTGCTAGCTGAGATGCTGAAGAAGCTAGATTCGCTGTCCCTGAAACATGAAAAAAAAATTAGTGGTACCTTCTATTTCTTCACTGAAGATCTTTCCTAGAAATTATGAACCAAAAAAGTGTCTATTTTATCTTTCACAATTTATTTGCTTCTTATTCCAAAGGCAAATAGTATATTTTCTGATTCCATATAGATACAAGGCACAGTCTCTAATGTAGCAGAATTTGAATGAACCTCAGTATAATTCTTTATTAATTTATATTATACCTTTTAGAGATTCTCTGAACCAGAGCATATTACTGATTAAATTTTACACATGTCAAAAGTACTATCAAATACAATGTTAATCATGGTACAGAACAAAAAAGTATTTCTGTTATTTGGGGAAAATCACAATAACAAAAAAAATAAGATGTGCTACACAGTGAAGGACAGAATAATAACAACAAAAATATATTTATTACATTTCCTTCTTTTTTTTCTTTTCTCTCTCTCTCTTTTTTTTTGGATGGAGTTTTGCTCTTGTTGCCCAGGCTGGAGTGCAATGACACGATCTTGGCTCACAGCAACCTCTGCCTCCCGGGTTCAAGTGAATCTCCTGTCTCAGCCTCCCAAGTAGCTGGGATTACAGATGTGCACACCACACCCAGCTAATTTTGTATTTTTAGTAAAGAAGGGGTTTCTCCATGTTGGTCAGGCTGGTCTCGAACTCCTGACCTCAGGTGATCTACCCACCTCCACCTCCCAAAGTGCTAGGATTACAGGCTTGAGAAATGGCGCCCAGCCTACATTTACTCCTGAAGTTACTACAGCACAGTTGGGTGAAAAGTTCAGAACAAGAAAGGTGGCTGTCCAGTGAAGTACGCTGCCTAGATTTTCACTGCTAAAAATCTGCCCCAACTGATTAAGGCTGGACAATTACATGCAGATGTTGAAAATGTTAGGATTTTATATTATCTTTATCTTCTTGTTTTATAGCTTACTTATAATATTAACTTTATTTTGAAGCTTAAAACCTCACCCATGTTGATTTGAGTTAATTTTTCCATTTATACTTAATCCCCATGGTTCAGCATTGATTACCTTAAGGGTGTGCCTTGAAAGTAGCTGGCAGAGTAGGCATAGAAACTGAGATCTATATTTCAGGAAGGTTCTTATGTCTATTTATTTGTATACTTCCCCTTGAGATGAGATTATAAATATGATAAGATACAGGAAGAAGCTTTTATTTGGGTTTGATTTCTACTTAGTGGGCAAAAACAAGCCTATAGTGGAACCAAAGTAGCTAATTAACATGGATACATACAGCACCCACTATATGCCCAGCACTACGCCAGGGCTTGTAAGAGATAGAAATTAAATGCACAATACAATCCTTGCCATCATGTAGCAAAATATAAAAAGGGAATAGATTTTCAAAGTTGGAAACTTGACAATAAACTCAGTATACAAAACTTGTTATGTAAACTGTCTAAGCCTAGTTTTCCTTATTTATGATACAGAGATACCTTCTTGGGTCATTACGAGAATTAAATATATATATTATATATATGTGAGATTATTGAGCAGAGTCCATTACTGACATTTAACACATCTCATTTTTCTTCCATTCAAAAAACTTAAAATCTAGCCAAGAAAAACCAAAGTAGGCAAGGCACGGTGGCTCACATCCCAGCACTTTGGGATGCCGAGGCAGGCAAATTACAATTCCCAGTACTTTGGGATGCCAAGGCAGGCAAATCACCTGAGGTCAGGAGTTCAAGACCAGCTTGGCCAACATGGCAAAATCCCATCTTTACTAAAAATAAAAAATTAGCTGGACATGGTGGCACATGCCTGATCCCAGCTACTCAGGAGGCTGAAGCAGGAGAATTGCTTGAATCCCGGAGGCAAATATTGTAGTGAGCCAAGATCATGCCACTGCACTCCAGTCTGGGCAATGGAGTAAGACTGCATCTCAAAAAAAAAAAAAAAAAGAAAAGAAAAGTCAAAGTATCAGATCATAATTGTTTAGCAATATGAAAAGGCATAATCTGTAGAATGTATAATGGAGGAGATTCGTGTCAGATAGATTAGTTAGGAGGATTTTAATGGAACCTTTGAGGTGAACTTCACAAAGCTGCAAATGGTAGTGTTTGAAGAGAGGAGGAGGTAGAACACAGAGAGGGTCTTCAGCCCTGCATGTGCAGGTAACAAGACAGAGGGTGGCATTTCCAGACAGGTAAGCCATGTGCCAGGGCAACATGGCACAAAATGGTTGTGGAGGCAAGGCAGACCATCAGTGGGAAGCCGAAGCTACAGTAACTGCTACTTGTAAATAAAGATCTTTTTTTTTTTTTCAAGGAAAACCTACCTGATGTTTATAATGACTGGATGTCCATTGCTAAACATCTGCCTGATCTCATTGAGTCTGGCAAACTTCGAGAAAGAGTTGAGAAGGTTTGAAATATGTATTACATTTGTCTTCTTATATAGCTTCTTAACATTGTTAACTTGGTTTTGAAGCGTGAAACATGACTGAGATTGATTTGAGTCATTTGCTTTACTGTTCCTCAGTTGGACATGCTCAGCATTGATCATCTCAGAGACCACAAGTCGCAGCGCCTTGCCCATCTAGTTCTGGGATGCATCACCATGGCATACGTGTGGGATCGAGGTTGCGGAGATGTCCGGAAGGTTTGGAGATTTTCTCAGATTCTTATGCTGTGTGACAGATTTTCATCTAATTTACATTTAACTTTACAAAAATTTTCTAAAAGCATTTATAACTGCATTGTGCAAAGTTTAGGTGATACGACAAAATGAAAAAGAAAATATACCCTGGTTTGACATGTCAACTGTTATTATTATTATATTTTTAGTCTTTTACTTTATTTTTCATCCTGTATTTTAACGGTCAACCCTAATTACATAAATCTAATACAGACTACAATATCTAACCTTTAAAACACAAATGGGCCAGGCGCGGTGGCTCACCCCTGTAATCCCTACACTTTGGGAGACCGAGGCAGGTGGATCACTTTGGGATACTGAGGCAGGACTTCAAGACCACTCTGGCCAACATGGTGAAACCCTACCTCTACTAAAAATACAAAAATTAGCCGGATATGCTAGCGTGTGCCTGTAATCGCAGCTACTTGGGAGGCTTAAACCTGGGAGGCAGAGGTTACAGTAAGCTGTGATCGGATCATGCCACTGTACTCCAGCCTGGGCAACAGAGCAAGACTCTGTATCCATTAAAAAAACACACCACAGACACACACATACACACAAAGGGATAAAATAGATTCCAGAGGCAGCTTCTATCATTTAATGAAAGCTTTTTTTTTTTTTTGTCAAAAGTAGTTGGTGTTTTATGTAGGAGCCTTCCACTGTGTGTCTAAACAGAGCAGAGTGCTACAAGTCACAAGCTCAGGTCAGGGAAAGAAGAGCTGAGGAGAAAAAGGGGCAGAGCTGTAATTTCTCTACCAAACTCAACAAATAGATCAGCTTCTACACATCCCCTAGGAAGGCTGAGTGAAAGCACTGACAAGTGTCATCCCAACTGATGTATCTCCACGTGGAAATATAAAGCAAGAGGAAAGGAGATTCCTCTTTCCAGCAGAAGCAAGTCTTGGAAGCCGAGCACCAATGCCATTCCATGGTTAAGATTTCAGATAATAATAATAATAATCCAGCAGAAAATGTCTTTCAACACTGTGCTCCAAGAGCAGCAATCTGTTTATACTTATAGTATGTATCATATATACAATTACAAAGACTTCAAGCATCTTCGAGGCGATTGCTTTTATCTTTCTATTGGCAGCTGATAATGTGGCATCTTGCATTGAAAAAATTGCTTAACAATTATTCATGGGAAGGATGGATAAATGAATTACTGGAAATCGGTCCCAAGGCCATTAGAAACACCAAGATGCAGGCTTTGTTCCTCTGGCTTTCTACCTCTTTTACCTCTCTAATCCAAAACACGAACCTCTAACAATTTAATTTACAAAAAGAGAAAGAGAAAAAAATTAACGTTTGTTTGGTTTCAAAGTGTCATTTTATAGAACACAGAAAGCAAAAGAAAAGGTGCAAGAGGTAAATGATTAAAGTAACTACTGGCTGGGCGAGGTGGCTCACCCCTGTAATCCCAGCACTTTGAGAGGCCGAGGCGGATGGATCACCTGAGGTCAGGAGTTCAAGACCAGCCTGGCTAACATGGCGAAACCTCATCCTTACTAAAATACAAAAAATAGCTGGGTGTGGTGGCCGGCGCCTGTTATCCCAGCTACCTGGGAGGCTGAGGTGGAAGAGTCGCTTGAACGTGGGAGAATCGCTTGAACCCGGGAGGTGGAGATTGCAGTGAGCTGAGATCTCACCACTGCACTCCAGCTTGGGTGACAAGAGCAAGACTCCATCTCAAAACAAAACAAAACAGAACAAAACAAAACAAAAAACTAACCATTGTATTTTAATCAGGTCTTGCCAAAAAATATTGCTGTTCCCTACTGCCAACTCTCCAAGAAGCTGCAGCTGCCTCCTATTCTGGTTTATGCAGACTGCGTCTTGGCGAACTGGAAGAAAAAGGACCCTAACAAGTATGTAAACGGTGATAACAACAGGAATTTTGGAGTACGTGCCAATTAAATAAAAGAGGAGTTGCTTACTGGCTTTATTTTGGCCAGCACAGTTTTCCTCTCTGTTGCTGGGTATGGTTTCTTGGACTGCTGTGTCTACCACTACAAATACACATCTGTGAGAGGTGTATAGTTAACACAGCAAAGTGCACACATCTTAGGTGGTCAGCCTGAATTTGAGTATTGTATACGTACATATACCCCCCACTCTCAGCAAGATATAGAATATTTTTTTATCACCTCAGAAAATTTCTTTGTGCCTCTTTCAATTCCCTTTCCTGCCACAGACAACTATATTCTTATTTGCTTTATCAAAAATTAAATTATTTTTGTTATTGGGTTTCATATCAATGAAACCATAGAGTATAGAGTCTTGTGTCTGGCTTCTTTTGATTAGCAGGTTTTTGAGATTCTATCAGTTTAATTTTTAAGAAGCCAGTTGTGGTTAAGAGTTGACTCGTCGTTAACAACAGGCAGCAACAACTGGTTTTTCAGAGCAGTCTGCTCAGGACGTAGCCATTTTTACCCACCTAGGCACGAAATCCGCTACAATGAAGGGAAGGGAGAATCAAAGACCACGCCTCTGGGCATGTGCTGGCAGAAGAATACTCTGCAAATGGGATCATCACAAAATGAAAGAATTTGAGCTATCAAGTTTCTTATTAACAATTAGTTAAAAAAAAAAAGTTAGCCAAGAATGATGACATATGCCTGTGGTCCCAACTACACAGTGGGTTAAGAGAGGAGGATCGCTTGAGCCCGAGAAGTTGAGGCTGCAGTGAGCCATGTTCACGCCACTGCGCTCCAGCCTGGGTGACAGAGGGAGACCGTGTCTCAAAAAAAATAAAAATAAAACAATTAGTTCTGACTGTCCATGTGACTTCTTTGCATATTTAATTATTTAATTCACTTGTAAGTTATTAAGTTAAATGTTTTAATGCCTACTGAAGAAATATTTTTCAAAAGTTTTTCTTTTTACCTGTCAATGTCTTACTACTGATAGATCAGTTCTCATCATTATTTGATGTTAAGTTGATTTTCTTTCTCTCTTCCAATTGGCCCATTGCTTCACGGCTGCTTTCGTAAGGCCTCTGACTTATGAGTAAGTATCCGATTCTTGTTTTATTCTAAGAATTATTTGTTATTTGTAGTTGAATGTAGGTTTATCAATAAAGCCAAACAGATTTTTTTATATGATTAACTGAATTCAGGCAAAAAATAATTTAAGTGATTATTTAGAGAACAAACAATCTCAGTCTTTAATTATATCTATGATTGTTACAGCTATGTCTATTTGATATTATAGCTATAGATATGCACAAGAATGCTACTCAAATACATCTATAGGAGATTATTATGCAAACATACAAAATGCACATACATCTGTGTATCTATGACTTAATAACTCCTAGTCCGTAACTAGTTACCAGTGTCTGTAAGTAACCATATGCTAATTTCTTTAAGAGAAGGTGTAAGAAGATAAAGTATTGGGATCCCCAACCTAATAAAAGGGGTAATGGGGAAACCCTTGAAGCAAGTTATTTGAGTCCTGAAGAGTGAGTTAGGAAATATCAGGTCTCAATTTAGTTTATTTACTATTAATTATATGATCTTAGACAATGGACCTAACAACTGAGTCTTAATATTCTCAACTACATAATGGAGACAGTAAGGCCTGCCCCACCTCTCTCATCAAATTATGTCGAAAATAAAATAAAATAGCTAGAGGAAAAAGTATGGGTATTCATATCAGAAGAAACAACAAAAACGAGGCCTTCAATGTCAAATATCTTGCTTTATCAAAGCTGAAGGATGGCTAATGTCACTGATAATAAATAATAAAAATAACAGTGTGAGAAAAGGATTAATAATTTTTTTCAAGATGGCTGGGCGCAGTGGCTCATGCCTGTAATCCCAGCACTGTGGGAGGCTGAGGCGGTTGGATCACCTGAGGTCAGGCATTCGAGACAAGCCTGGCCAACATGGCGAAACCCCTCCTCTTCTAAAAATACAAAATTAGCGGAACATGGTGGCACACGCCTGTAATCCCAGCTACTCAGGAGGCTGAGGCAGGAGAATAGCTTGAACTCGGAAGGCAGAGGTGGCAGTGAGCCAAGATTGTGCCATTGCACTCCAGCCTGGGCGACAGAGCAAGACTCCGTCTCAAAAAAAATATGATTATGTAGGATTTTATTAGCTATGATATGGAGTTAAAACAGAATCTTAAGATAAGGGAGAAACTGGAAGGCTTTTAAACAGGAGGATGATATTAGCAGTCAGTCCCATTTTACAGATGAGAACACCAAGGCAAACAATGTCATATCTTGCTCAAGGTCACACAGCAAGTAAGTTGCAGAGGTGGTCTGGCTTCAGATACTGTGAATTTAACCACCAAAAAACTCAAAAACTCAAAAACTCATGGATATACAGATACTAAGATAATGTTTTTACCAATGTCAAAACTTCAATTGAAGAGAAAAACAGGGTCTAATTAGTTATTTGAATTTCGCAGTCAACACCTTTTTAAAGTAGATAAACCACTGAGAAACTGAATTAGGCTCACAAATTAAAATATGAATATGAATGTAGTTATTTAAACAAAAGGTTACCTCTTAAAATTCTACCTCACAGATATCTCTGTAAATATTGAGTATATATGTATGGTAATATAAATGCCCGTGAAAAGTTAACAGGATTATAGAAACAGAACTAGTTTGAGAATTTCTAGGTCTGAGTGTTTTTTGTTTTTGAGATAGAGTCGCGCTCTTGTTGCCCAGGCTGGAATGCAATGGAACAATCTTGGTTCATTGCAACCTCTGCCTCCTGGGTTCAACTGATTCTCCTGCCTTAGCCTCCTGTGTAGCTGGGATTATAGGTGCCCACCACCATGCCCAGCTAATTTTTATATTCTTAGTAGGCACGGGGTTTCACCACATTGGCCAAACTGGTCTCAAACTCCTGACCTCAGGTGATCCACCCACCTCGGCCTCCCAAAGTGCTGGGATTACAGGTGTGAGCCACCATGCCCAGCCCCAGTTCTGACTTTTAATATGAAATATCAGGTCTCAATTTAGTTTATTTACTATTAATTATATGATCTTAGACAATGGGCCTAACAACTGAGTCTTAATATTCTCAACTACATAATGGAGACAGTAAGGCCTGCCCCACCTCTCTCATAAAATTATGTAGAAAATAAAATAAAATGAATTAAAATGTCAACAAAACCAGTTTTGCTAAATTTCTTGACTTCCTTATCTAATTTCCTTAGGAACATGGATGTTTTGTTCTCATTTCGTCATACAGACTGCAGTAAAGGATTCTTCCTGGTCTCTCTGTTGGTGGAAATAGAAGCTGCTTCTGCAATCAAAGTATGTCTATCCTTACTTCCAAATTTATACATCAATTTACATAAGCAGAGCAATCACTTAGGAGCCTAAACTATGCTAAACATTAGTTAACTTTATCCTTAACAAATACAACGTGGGATCATTTAATTGTGAATAGAGGATCAATTCTTTATATTTGTGTATTACCTAAAATATAAAATCTCAGAGCCATATACTTAAAGTCCAACTTGAAACCTCTGTAGGAAATAAAAAGTTTCAATGAAACCTGGATTTGGAACTATGATACACAGTGTTATAAATTCAATAGTTTTGATTATCAAAAATAGAAATGAAACATATACAACTATATAAACATCTCTAAATTAAATGCTATGTGAATAAAAACAAATCCAAGCTTCTAGGAATATAAGGAAATTAATCAAATAGGGTGTCCAGCACAGGAAAGAAATGTAAAAATCCCAAATTTAATTTATGGATTAAGACTGGAGAATTTGCCCAGGTATGGTGGCTCACGCCTATAATCCCAGCACTTTGGGAGTCTGAGGTGGGCAGGTCTCTTAAGTGAGGAGTTGGAGACCAGCCTGGCCAATGTGGTTAAACCCCATCTCTAACTAAAAATATAAAAATTAGCTGGGCATGTTGGCATGCACCTGTAAAATCCCAGCTACTCGGAAGCTGAGGCACAAGAATTGCTTGAGCCTGGGGAAGCAAAGGTTGAAGTGAGCTGAGATCGTGCCATTGCATTCCAGCTTGGGCAACAGAACACGACTTGGTTAAAAAAAAAAGACAAAAGATGGAAGAATTTTGTTCTATGTCAATGTTTAGCTTTAGAAAACCTTAAATGCTTGTCTGTTGATTTTTTTTTTTTTTTTAGGAAATTCCTACTATATTCAAGGCAATGCGAATGCAAGAACTGGACACTTTGCGAAAGGCGCTGTTGAAAATAGCTTCTTGCCTGGAGAAAGCGCTTCAAGTGTTTCACCAAATCCATGGCAAGTGTTGTATGCCATCTAGCCTGACAAGTCAAATGTTCCAAGTGTAAAATAGTTGAAAAGGGGAAGCAAAAAGAAACTATCACTTAGCATGTTTTCACTTTAGATATTTTATCTTACTAAACCATTACACTTTCTATGTGGTAGGTTTTATTACCTCCATTTTACAAGTAAGGTACTCTAAATTGAGAAAGACAGGGTAAATGACTTCAGATTCCACAGGCAGTAAATAGCGAAGCCAGAGTTCCAGGCTGGTCTATTTAACTCAAAGGAACTTCCTTGACTCCCACTAAAAACCTTAGAAAAATTGGCTGAGTTCCAAAAAAACACATAGCTTCCGCATAATAAGAACTCTTTCCTAATTCTGCTTTTCACAAATTAAGAAACAGCACAGGAAAGTCAGCTCTCTGTTCTCTCTGTTACTACTTGGCCAGGAATGTACTGCCGGTGGACGGGGGAGAAGTTTTTCATTGAGCTGAAAACTTGTTGTGAAATTAACAGCTTAAAAACTATCCCCAAAAAACACACAAAAAAAGTGCATAAGCAGTAATTTGCGATAGGAAATCTGCCCTACTGAGCAGACTCAACCAATCTGATTGTTTATCTCTGGGTTTTGAGTAATTGCTATTTGGTCCTCGGCAAGAAGCTAGATTTTCAAATCAAGTAGGGTAGGAGGCTGCGTGTGGTGGCTCATACCTCTAGTTCAGCTACGTGGGAAGATTGCTTGAGCCCAGGAATTGGGGCTGCAGTGAGCTTTGGTCATTACATTCTAGCCTAAGTGATGAAGTGAGATCCTGTCTCCAAACAAGTTTAAAAATTTTAAAAATACATCTCGTTTCTGGGCTTTTGTTTTGATTTGGTGTGTATTTTGTCTTCGGTTTGTTTCTTTCTCTATGTAAAGTTTATCTGTTGCATCAGTAAGCACGTAAAATAGCTAAATAAATATTTACAGTTTACCTGGCCTCCTGGAAGAGGGCAGGAAAGTGAACGCTTATCTGCAGGGGATTTGTTTCGCACATACTGACCTAATGCCTTTCCTGCAGCCTCTGCTGAAATCCACTATCAGTTGTACACGACACCTTGATTTCCCTGTAAACCTCTTATGCTGCTTAATGAAACACATTCCATCTTTTTACAGAGCACGTGGACCCGCAAGTATTTTTTAATGTTCTTCGCATATATTTGGCTGGGTACGTAGTCTTACATTGGAATTTGTTTGCTCTCACTTAACAAAGAACACCACCAATTCCCTTGGGTGGTCCCTAATATCCATTGGGTTTGGCTAACAATTTACATCCAAAAATTCATGTGGTAGAAAAAGACTAGACTGTTCTCTCTGTTATTACTTGGCCAGGAATGTACAGCGGGGGGAGAAGAGGGAAAACAGAAAAGCTAGTCATTTTAAAAAGAGTGGAATGATCTGTGTTGGTGCCGAGGTAAGGTTCCATTCCTAGAATATTTATGCCAAATTTGCTCAGGATTATATTACTTACTATTTTCATGCATGAAAATGAGCAAGGGGAAGCGGGCATGAAAGAAGGATCATGAATTCCATCTCTTGTCACCTTCTGTTCATTGCTAGTGCAAGATTTGATATCTAAAAATTAGCAATTAATCTAAAGAATGATTTTTCTTTCTTTCTTTCTTTCTTTCCTCTGATAGCTGGAAAGGCAACCCCCAGCTATCAGAAGGTCTGATGTATGACGGGTTCTGGAAAGATGCAAAGCAGTTTTCAGGGGGCAGCGCAGGCCAAAGCAGCATCTTTCAGTGCTTTGACGTCCTCCTGGGCATCCCGCAGAGGGCTGGTGGAGGTGAGTGGAAAATAACAAGAAATAATCATCTCTTATGTGAACACAATTGTATTTGGATATCTGCAAAGCACCTTCCCATCAGCATCTCATCTGAGCTTATCTGATGGTTTTAGCAGAATCAGGCAAGCAGGGATTTGGTTGCCATCATTCCATTTTAAAAATGAAGATGCATAAACTTTATGAGGGTCAGTGACTGGTTCCTTCTGAACCAGCTAGAAAGTGGCAGAGCCAGCTGGGAGTGGTGACTCAAGCTTGTAATCCTAGCACTTTGGGAGATCAAGGCAGATGGATCACCTGAGGTCAGGAGTTCAAGACCAGCCTGGCCTACACAGTGAAACCTCGTCTCTATTAAAAATACAAAAATTAGCTGGGCGTGGTGGTGCCGCCTGTAATCCCAATTACTCAGAAGGCTCGCTTAAACCCGGTGGGCAGAGGTTGCAGTGAGCCGAGATTACACCACTTCACTCCAGCGGCGAAAGAGTGAAACTCTGTCTCAAAATAAAAATGAAAAATAAAAAAAGTGGCAAAGCTTTCCTCACACCCAAGCTTCATCTTGATATCTGAACAAGTATATAAAGACTGGTTGACTCTGGTGAAGTCAATATCACATGTTCAGAAAATGTATGATCAGACTCAGAAAGAGACAGCCTGATAAAATGAGACAGGGCTGTTAAAAGGGGCTAAAGACCTCTGTGGCAAGCAGGGTCTGGGCCTTCCTCTTGTTTAGCTGTCTTGTGGCCCCAGCCACCCAGAGCAATGCCTGCACCAAAGTTTAAAAATGTGCCACATTCATTATATGCCCTCTAAGGGCTGGAGGAGAGGAATAAGCTCCAAGAAGAATTTCTTTCTAATTTTCTCTGTTTTGTTAAATTACTGTTTAATAGTCAAAAGGGAAAGCATCAGCGTAAGTAAAAACATGAATTTTTCTTTTCTTTTTTTTTTGAGATGGAGTCTCGCTCTGTCACCCAGGCTAGAGTGCAGTGGTATGATCTCAGCTCACCACAACCTCTGTTTCCCGGCTTCAAGCAACTGTCCTGCCTCAGCCTCCCGAGTAGCTGGGATTACGAGCATATACCATCACGCCTGGCTAATTTTTGCCTTTTTAGTAGAGACAGGGTTTCACCACGTTGGTCAGGCTGGTCTTGAACTCCTGACCTAGTGATCCACCCACCTTGGCCTCCCAAATTTCTGGGATCACAGGTGTGAGCCATCACACCTGGCCCAAATGTGTTTTTCTTAACTTTAGCACTTATTTTTAATTTTTAAATCATATTTAATTTTTTATTTTAGATTCAGGGGATACATGCGCAGGTTTGTCACATAGGTATATCGAGTGATGCTGACGTTTGGGCTTCTAATGATCCCCTCACCCAAGTACAGAACATAGTATCTGATAGGTAGTTTTTCCTCCTTCCCTCCCCTATTTGAAATCCTCAATATCTGTTGTTCCCATCTTTGTGTCCATGTGTACACAATATTTAGCTCCCACTTATCAGTGAGAACATGTGATACTTGGTTTGCTGTTTCTGCATCAATTCTCTTAGGCTAACTTAAGCTAATGGCCTCCAGCTATATCCATGTTGCTGTAAAGCCCATAATTTCATTCTTTTTCATGGCTGTGTAGTATTCCATGGTGTACATGTACCGCATTTTCTTTGTCCCATCCACCATAGATGGAAACCTGGGTTCATTCCATATCTTTGCTATTGCTTAACACTCATTTAAACACAATCTCTTAAACTCTCTTAAGACTCAGTCATGATCTGTCAAATGTAGATTATATATGCCCTTGTCTATAACATCAGCTTCTTACAATAGAAAAGTGAGGAAGAAAGTGCAAACAAAGGCTGGGCACAGTAACTCATGCCTGTAATCCCAGCACTTTGGGAGGCTGATGCTGGCAGATCACCTGAGGTCAGGAGTTCGAGGCTAGCCTAACCAACTTGGAGAAACCCCAGTCTCTACTAAAAACACAAGGTGGTGGCGCATTCCTGTAATCCCAGCTACTCAGCGGGCAGAGGCAGGAGAATTGCTTGAACCGGGGAGGCAGAGTTTGTGGTGAGCCGAGATTGTGCCACTGCACTCCAGCCTGGGCAACAAGAGCGAAACTCTGTCTCAAAAAAATAAAAAAAGAAAGAAAAGAAAGTGCAAACAAAAATACTTATTGTGGGAAAATGAATTTAGTTCATCCAGTTTTCAAAATTAATAATATTTTACAGCAATTATGATTGCTATAGTAGCAAGACTAATAGCCAAACATTAGCCTTCAAATCGAATGACCTTGACCTCGGTGACTGCTGTGTTGGTGATCTGTCCACTCTGACCTGACTCTGCCTTTCTCTCCTGGATTGGAGAATGCTGTGACCTTCACATTTCCTCGTCTTTCTCTTGTTCCTATAGGATCTGCTGCTCAGTTCCTCCAGGACATGAGAACGTATATGCCACCAGCTCACAGGAACTTTCTGTGTTCATTAGAGTCAAATCCCTCAGTCCGTGAGTTTGTCCTTTTAAAAGGTGATGCCGGCCTGCGGGAAGCTTATGATGCCTGTGTGAAAGCGTTGGTCAATCTGAGGAACTACCATCTGCAAATTGTAACTAAGTACGTCTTGATTCCTGCAAGTCAGAAATCAAAGAACAAGACCTCCAAAGAGCCTTCAGAAGAGGAAAACAAAGGAACTGGAGGCACTGATTTGATGAATTTCCTAAAGACTGTAAGAACTACAACCCAGAATTCCCTTTTGAAGGAAGGTTAATGAAACCCAACGAGCACATTTTATCGTAGCATAGACATATATTCCTGTCTCTACCCTTTATAACAGAGCCATGAATTAATACTATGCAATGTTTTATCAATAATGCAATACGAAAGACCTCAAAATATCTGTGCATTTCTTGTAGGAAAACAACAAAAGGTAATTATGTGTAAATATTAAAAATTATACAAGTTTTATAATCTGAATCTTATCATTGGAATAAAATGATGAAATTCAATAAAGAAAAATGCATAAGATATAATAAATTTTGCTTGATTTATAACCATAATCAAATCTTTCTTTAGATGAGACCTACTCTAAACTGCTTTCAGCAGAGCTAATAGACTCCTATACTTCCCCTGTGTTAATGTGAGATTTTTTTCATAATTACCTGTTTACTTGTCTGTATTCTCATCACGTGAAAAGCTTCTTTTCTTATTATTTTTTATTTTTATTTTTTGGTTTTACATGATAAGCTTCTTGAAGTCAGAGACATTCTATATTGTTTACCAGATTTATGCATCCCAGCATTTTTTTTTTTTTTTTGAGACAAAGTCTCACTCTATCACCCAGGCTGGAGTGCAGTGGCATGATCTCAGCTCACGCAGCCCTGATCTCCCAAACCTAAGTGATCCTTCCACCTCAGCCTCCTAAGTAGCTGAGACTACAGCTGTGCACCAACATGCTTGGCCAGTTTTTGTATTTTTGTAGAGACAGGGTCTTGCTATGTTGCCCAGGCTGGTCTTGAACTCCTGAGCTCAAGTTATATCTGTATCTTATCATTGGAATATATAATAATCCCAGCAATTTGGCCTTCGAAAAGTGCTGGGATTACAGCATCCCTCCCAAGGTGCTGGGATGCAGCCAGGTGTGGTGGCTCATGCCTGTGATTCCATGTGATTATGAAAGATACGACTTGGCCTCCTAATGTTCTGGAATTACAGACGTGAGCCATCACAGCCAGCCACATTCCAGCTTTTAGCAGATACTTAGCAAATATATGTTAAATAAATATATAAAAGAATGCATGAATGTATAAATAAATTAACCTGAGCTGACAGGAAGAGTTCACCTTTGAAATAAAACTTCTGCAAGATCCAGATTATGGGCACTCACACTCTGGCATGAACATATTTAATAATGGAACCCTAAAAAGCTACAGCCTGAGAGGAACTTCCAGATTATCAAAGCTAAGCTCTTCATTTTAAAGATGACAACACTGAGGCACAGAAGGGTGAAATAACTTACTGATGGTCACACAATTACTTGGTTAACAGTGGGAGAAAAAATTTTTGATGACTCATCATTTTTCTTTTTGCTATATTTAGAGTAAACTAAGGTGGAGGAAAAAATAATTTTGGAAGGGAAAGGGGAGGAAGTGAGTTAACTGGGCAGGAACTCATGAGATTGTAAATGGTCAGCCAGAAATCAGGTATGTTATAGAAGATGAGATGGAGGGAAGCACCATGGTCTCATGGGTGTGGAATTAGCAAGCACTTTGAATTTATGAAAACCTCAGCCCTGAAGAAGCTGTGAGCTCTTTTAAGTACATAGGAATTTAAATGAGTATGTCCAGGTAGGTTTGGGAAGGAAATGTAGCCATACACTACTAAAAGCCAAACTTCTAAAAACGATTTAATATTGTTTCTTAAATACACCCTAACTCAGTGAAATCTTCCTGCTTACAGCAAACTTTCACTGGATTCCACAGAAAATGCACCAAACGTAAATGACAGCAGTATTTGTCAGGGAGGACACATTTTCTTCTTTATGCTCCTGTCCATATTTTTGCAATGAGGACATATAATTTTATGATGAAAAAGTATATATGCACCATGCACATATACCTGCCAAATACATATATGTGTGTGCACATGCATGTAAGTTTTGTTTTTGGTTTAGGTTTTTCTAAGATGGAGTCTTGCTCTGTCGCCCAGGCTGGAGTGTAGTGGTGCAATCTCTGCTCACTGCAACCTCTACCTCCCAGGTTCAAGCGATTCTCCTGCCTCAGTCTCCTGAGTAGCTGGTAATTACAGGTGCCTGCCACCACCACACTGGCTAATTTTTGTATTTTTAGTAGAGAGAGGGTTTCACCCTGTTGGCCAGGCTGGTCTCGAACACCTGACTTCAGGTGATCCGCCTTCTTCAGTCTCCCAAAGTGCTGGAATTATAGGCATGATCCACCGTGCCTGGCCTGTGTTTAAATTTTAAGGGATAACCAGAAAGATTATCACATTCTCAGAGTTGAACGTGGTACAGAAATCTCTAACCTGAGAGTCAAGAGACCAAGACATGGGTTCCCTTTGGACATCTTTCAGCTTTGCGACCTTAGGGAAGTCACATTTTATGTCTGCAAAATAAGCCTGACAACACTAGCCCTGACTTATTCACAAGGTTCTTACTGTGAAGCCTGAATGCAATATGGTGCTGAAGTGTTAGGAAGTGATAATGTACTACTAGTATAGGTAAGCAAATTGCTAAGGATCTTTTTTATTTTTTTGAGATGGAGTCTTGCTCTTTCACCCAGGCAGGAGTGCAATGGTGCCATCTCGGCTCACTGCAACCTTCACCTCCCAGGTTCTGGAAATTCTCCTGCCTCAGTCTCCTGAGTAACTGGGGCTACAGGTTCCTGCCACCACACCCAGCTAATTTTTTGTATTTTTAGTAGAGATGGGGCTTTACCATGTTAGCCAGCCTGGTCTCAAACTCCTGACCTCAAGTTATCTGCCTGCCTCGGCTTCCTAAAGTGCTGTGATTACAGGCATGGTCCACTATGCCCAACCTGCTATGGAGCTTTTATTGGCTCCTGCTAAGGAGGTCAAGATGCTTTCTGTCTTGTGTTCTCCTGCTTGCAGCACTGATCACTCTGGCCCACAACCCTGGAAAGGCTACGCTTCAGATGCATCAGGCATTTCTCTCAGAGTTGGTTTTACCTAATTAGTATTGACATGTAGAGAGTCTCTGGTTGCCTAAGACAGACCCTGCAGCCACACCTTCTCCTTTAGAACATCACCTTTACTCTGATACTAAGGGAGAGGGAAAGGGAGGAAGCAAGGAGTGTTGCCACAGAAGTTGCGCCCACTGCTGCCTTGTAGGTGTGAGACAGGGACTGACACTGGGCTCCACGTGCTCCTACAGAGGGTGTGGACACTAGCTCCAGAGTCTCTTCTGTGTGTTCACATAATAGAAACCAAGATTCTTGAGTTACTCTAATTAAACCATCTCTGCAGTGGGAGAGGCACAGCAAGATGCTTGGTATGTTTCATAAGAAGCCCTGCCACTTCTGCCCCCATGTCGCATGCATTTTCTGCACATCACAGTGAGTGCTCCTCCAGGGGTGGGGTGGGAATCACAAGATGGTGAAGGTGGTTTTCTATTACAGGGACAGTTTTAACAAGATGTAATATATTTTAAGTAACACAGTTCCTATTTGAATGAAATTAAAGATAATTCTATCCCAGTCTGCATCATGGGAAATACAGAAATTCATGGTGGTGGCAGGACACAGTGGCTCACGCCTGTAATCCCAGCACTTTGGGAGTCCAAGGAGGGCAGATAACTTGAGGTCAGGAGTTCAAGACCAGCCTGGCCAACATGATGAAACCCATCTCTATCAAAAATATAAAAATTAGCAGGGCGTGGTGGCATGTGCCTGTAATCCCAGCTACTTGGGAGGCTGAGACAGGAGAAGAGCTTGAACCCAGCAGGCGAAGGTTGCAGTGAGCCAAGATCATGCCACGGCACTTGGGAAACAGAGAAAGACTCCCTCAAAAAGAGAGAGAGAGAGAGAGAGAAAGAAAGAAAGAGAAAGAAAGAAAGAAGAAAGAAAGAAGAAAGAAAGAAAGAAAGAAGAAAGAAAAGAAAGAGAGAGAAAGAAAGAGAGAAAAAGAAAGAAAGAGAGAGAAAGAAAATCATAGTGGTGTATTTCTCCACATGTTGTTTTCCATAAATAAGGATAATTTAGCTTAAAATATGTATCATTTTCATATCAAAGTTCAAAAAAGTATTCTTTAGCCCTTGCCTTCTATAATCCAGTTTTGCATATTAAATGTTGAAGTTATTTACGTATTATATAATTCTATTTTTTTCACTCTACTATATTATATATAATCTCACAAAGAAATGAGAAATACTTTTCTCAGTTCGCGCCACTCTGAATGCCTCATGTCCTTTAAACAAGAGCTAGTGCAGTCATGCAGTTGTAATGGTCAACCATGAACTGGAAATAGAAATTTGCTCATTTCCACAGAATTGTTTTGTGACAATAAACAATGGTTAGACAATAAAAAAAGGTTAGAAGTTCACCCAAGCCAAAAATTTTTCATATAAACATACACTTAATGGTTTCTAAGATTCTTGCCAAATAGGAAACAAAATGGCCCACACAGGCAGAAATTCCATCTCCAGGGCCTCTGGGAAATAACAAGCTTGTATTTAGAACTCACACCATCAATTACTGCTCCTAATGGTCTTTATATACAATCATTTAATCTTCAAAGCAATTCTATGTATTATTATTCTCCTCATTTTACAGATGAGGAGATTGAGATGCCAGAGGCTAAATTTGTTCAAGAACATAACAAGGAAGTGACAATGCTAGGGTATAAATCTGCACAGTCAGGTTCCAAAGATAAGCTCTTCATTACTTTAATATATAGGAGGCAATGTACTCAGCTTCTGTGGAAACACCTCTAAAGAACGGGACGTCAATAACACACATATGGCTTGACTCAGTTTTGCACAGACATTTATTCTTTTAGTTGCTTGATATTTAAATGTCAGTAAAACACTTTTTCTAATCTCAATTAGCTTACAGAGACAAGATATCATATTGTGTTTCTTTGGGGTGATTACCTCTATAATCGTTAGACTAACAAGAAAATTGTGTGTGATAGAGGCACAAAATAGAAAATGATTCATTCTGTTTGAAAAGTTGAGGAACGTTTTATACAGGAGGTAAGTTTGATACTTAGCTTTAAAGTTAAATTGATTGGTGTACTTTCGTTGAAAATTTTCTTCTGAATGCCCAGCATTAAATAAACAAGCAAACACATAACTTTGGCTTGTTGACCTACTCTCATATATAATGCAAGAATAAACATAAAAATATAAATTTTGTAAATGAGCCTCAGAATCATCTAATACAGGGAATCTTTTGGGATATCTACTTTTTTAAACTATAAATTAATAATGATAGCTAATAATTACTTAATTCTTTCATATGCCTCTTACTTTCCTACAA